CACAGACCTGCCTCCTGACTCCAGGCCTGTATATCCACCAGCCTCTGCCATCAGGCCCTTCAACTCCAAACAGAGCTTGTCTGGTTATCAGATCTAATTCTAAAACTGTGGACCACTGAGCCATTCTCAATGCCCAGCCTGCCCTGAGGGTCTTCATTCATGCGAGGCCCCTTCACCACCTCTCTCTCTCTCTCTCTCTCTCTCCCCCTCTCCTTCCCCCCTCCCCCCCCCCCCCCCCCCCCCCCCCCCGTCTCTGGTCAGTTGTGGGGCTTGAACTCTGGGCCTGGGCGCTGTCCCTGAGCTCTTCAGCTCAAGGCTAGCACTTTACCACTTGAGCCACAGCCAGTTTTCTGGTGGTTTATTGGAGATAAGAGTCTCAAGGACTTTCCTGCCCCAGCTGGCTTTGAGCTTTGCTCTTCAGATCTCAGCCTCCTGAGTAGCTAGGATGACAGGCGCCCAGCTCACATCTGCATCTCTACCATCCTCACCTTCACACCCATCTCATTCCCTGAAACAGAAACTTCTGTCCATCCTCTTTTCTTCTGTAACACATCTGGATGCTTGTAGCTGCCCAGAATAAATAAAAAGACAAATTCCTTTGCAGAGGTGAAGTCGTGTGACCACGCTCTGGCCAATGGTGTACAAGTACAAATGCTATCTGCTGCCTGCGAACACATATACTAAAAAGAAAGAGTATGCCCTTCTTTTTGCCCTTTTCTTTGTGCTGACTGAACTGTGGATATAGTGGCTGCCACTGGAGAAGCCATTTTGGACAATGAGGCAGAAGCTGAGTATTTGAGAACAGTGGGAAAAAAAAGGAAAGAATTATCTTTTTGGAAGTGGTGCTGTGGCTAAGCGGTAGAGTGCTCGCCTTGAGCTGAAGAGCACAGGGACAGCGCCTAAGCCCAAAGTTCAAGCCCCACAATGGACAAAAAGAAAGAAAGAAAGAAAGAGAACAATGGAGTGATACCATTAGATAGATCCTGGTGATTTTGGAGATGTTCCACCAGCCCTTGACTAGCCAGCGCTAGGGTTGTTTCATGTGAAAGAAATGAATGTCTGTCTTGTTTAAGCCACTGTTATTTTCGGTTACTCTCAGCCAAACCTAATCTAATCCCCTGTTGTTATCCCATAAGCGTAACTTTTAATATCAAGAGGAAGTCTTCCCGGGTAACAGAGGCTCAGGCAAATCCCATGGAAATCAACTCCCATGGCTTAGCTTCTTGGGCTCCTCTCCAGAGCTTGTCACATCGGAGCTTGTTTTGTCAATCATTGTTTTGTTATTTTTCCCTTGACTTGAACACAATGCCCAAGAAGGCAGGACCTGAATCTTTTTTTGTCATCATCATCATTTGGTATGGTTGCTTGAACCCAGGTCCTCGCAACTTCAAGCACTCTAACACTTGAACCACAGCCAGCCCTACATTCTACCTTTTCATCACTGATTCAGCAAACGCTGATGAATGAATGGGTGGATGAGTAAATATCACATCATAAATCTAATGACCATTTCTGTCCTTTCCAAGGTGTCTGTCCGTAACAGACTGACTCAATCAAATTCCCCCTTCAGTTACACCAGCTTCTCCACTGGAGTTTCACCCCTCCACATGGAAATTTGCTCTCCCTGACTTCCATCCACTACTACAGTCCAGTTGGGGATCCCCAAGTTCCAGCTCAGCAAATAGGCTATTATCTTGATTCAAGTCACATCTGGCAAAGAGAAGGCACGCCCACCGCCCTCCTCCCATACAGGCAACCATGCAGTGGTCAAGGAAAAAAAGAGTCCAGAGCCAGGTGTACCCCTCCCAGGGCCCGTTTTCCCCCTGGCTCCACCAGCTGCCTCTCCTGGTGGTCCCAGACCCAGGAATGATGCCCTCGAGGCTGGGAGTTTATTAGGGCTAGGATGAGACTTCGTCCATCCCTGTCTTCTGCCTGGTATGTAGGAGTCATCATCGTGTAAATATCATCAGATAAAGACAGACCCCCCGGGCTGTGGCTTGAAGAGGAAGAAAGGGCTGGTGGGTGAGGAGAGTTTGAGGGGCTTGCTGCCCCCTCAGTGCTCTGAGGGGCTAGAGAGACAATGATCTGGGAAGAGAGAGGGTTACAGGCCTGGCCTTCCTACCACCTTCAAAGAGGTGGGGAACTCAGGAGAAGCTGGCAGGGGTGAGACAATTGTCTAGGCTGGGTGGTGGTGGTGGTGGTGGTGGTGGTGGTGGTGTGTGTGTGTGTGTGTGATGAATTGGAGATAAGAGTCTCATGGACTTTCCTGCCGGGGATGGCTTTGAACTAGGATCCTCAGATCTCAGTCTCCTGAGGAGCTAGGATTACAGGCGTGAGCCACAGGGTCTGGCTCAGGTTGCTCTTCTGACAGAACACAAAGCTCCGGATACAGTCTTCCACCCTCCCACCCCATGCTCAGTGGTCAGGTGGACACTAAGGAGTGTCACACCCCCAAGCCGGGGGAGGTTGGGGAGCAGCTCCAGATGTGAGCTTGGAAGGGCCTTCAAGGAATCTTGGGACTCAGGCCAACATCTTAATACAGCAGATGAGGAAACTAAGACCAGATAGAGGGAAGATTTGCCTTCCACTGTACAGCAAGCTGAAGAAAGAGGCCCCCAGACTCCTGACGCCCACTGTCAGTACTGTCTGCCACACTGGGCAGGGTCCCTGAGGAAAAAGAAGAGGCTGCAGGTTTGGAATGCGAGGGGGGGAGGAGAGGGGAGATCACACATTCCAAGGAAGACAGCCACTCCCACTCCACCCTGAGTAAGTTTGGAGCCCAGCCGTGACTCAGTTTCCCCAGTGTAAAATACAAACAACAGTAATCATACTGACCTGTAGTGAGTGTGGGAGGAGTAAAGGAGTGGACACCACAAAGTTCTGGGGAAAGGCCCACTGTGTAGTAGGTGCTCAGTAAACATCAGCTGTCACCATTGTATCTGCATCCTGGGGCAGCTGAGGGCTGTTCCCTGGGGAGGGGACTGCAGGGGCAAAAGGGAGCTGGCTCAGCCAGCCAGCTTGCAAGAGTGTGGGAGGAAGCCAGGGCCCCCTCCCGGCCCTCCCAGGGCCCAGCCCTCTGGTCTCCTGTCTCTGGGACTCAGTGGGTCCCAGGCCCTTCCAGCCGCCAGCCTGTCTGCTGGGCTCTCACGCCTGATGCAGAGATAACACACCCCACAACGGGATTGTTTCCTCCCCCCCCCCAACTCAAGTGGGACCTGGGGGGGAGGGATTCGCTGGCATTGGGGCAGTTTGGGGGCTCAGAAGGGCTGACAGAGGCTGCTCCCACAGCTGGCCAGGCCCAGGCCCTTAAAGGCACTTGGAGGTAGCTGGGTTTGCAGGGAAGGGTCAAGGGAAACAGCTGTGGCCTGAGCTTCTGGAACATTGTGCCAATGTCTGCTACATACCATGCACACATTTGGCCCACAATAGGGAGAGAGGCAGCGTCTACATGGAAAAATGGGCCATCCTACTGCCCAGAGCAGAACCTCTGGTCCCCGTGCTCCCTTGGGTGGCAGCCCTGAGAAGAAAAGCCCAGAGCCTTGGACAGCAGAAGGGCTGGGGAGTATGGCGGGGGGGGGGGGCTGTGGACATGGAGGCGGCCCCCTCCCCCTCCCCGGTCCCCAACACTCCCGGCACAGTCACTGCCATGACCTCACTGCCATGACCGGGCCAGGCAGGAGTGAGGGACCCGCCAAAGTCCACACCCCTAGAGATCACCACGAGCCAAGCGGGGGGGGGGGGGGGGCTTGGATAACCTCCACCCACAGGCCCCAGACACAGCCTGTCCCGTCCCAGCGAGTGCTTGGTCCAGCTAGGCAGGCCCCCTTTCCCTCCTGCCACCTCCCCGAGGCAGTCTCCACCACGGATCCCGGCTGTCAGCCTCACGCAGCCAGCCTGTCCTGACAGGTGCTCCCTGGACCGCCTCTGCGTGACTTCCGTGACGGTGGCGGCGTGATGGCACAGCGGTAGAGGCGGAGGGACACAGGTGGCTGTGTGGTCTGGAAGGCCAGTTGTGATGGGCATTCTAGCACTTCGGGAGGTGCTGTCAGGCACGGCAGTGGCAGAGGTCGTGGTGAAGGGGGTGGGCACGGAGGCAGCGGTGGTGGGGACTGTTAGGGAAGGTGGGATGGGGTCCTGGGGGGGGGGGTGCTGGCAGAGTGCTAGTGCTGATGGAGATGGAGACAGGAAAAGCAGCAGGGACGGTGGCTGGAGTGGCCGTGGGGATGGGGTAACAATGCCAGAACCCCGGTTCCAGGCAAGAATGGAGTCCATAGGATGTCCCGGGACAGAAGGCCTCGAAGGCCTCGGGGCAATGGGAGCAGCGGCCCCTTCCCCAGTGCCCCTGCGAGGCACAGTATGTTCCCTCCCCCACCCTCCAACTTGAAGCAAGCGTCCTCTGGCCTGGGGTTTGAGAAAGCCTCCCCTGAAGGCAGGTAGACTGAGGCCAGATCCCAGCTCAAAATCCCAGCAAAATGGAGTAAACTAGGGTCTGAAGTTCACTCTGAACTGAGATGCGGTTATTCTAAGGACTGGTAAAAGCATCCTTACAAGCTCATGGCACAGACCGCCGAGATGTCAGATACGTTGCACTCTCCGCTAAGGTTTGTCTTTCGAGCCTCCTCTGTTGACCCTCCAACTTGCCTTACTTATGCCTTCCATGGCTCCATTTGCTAGACCTATTGTAACCAAGTCCCACTCGCTTGATGGCGTATGACACTTGTGTGTGCCATTGTTCTGCAGACCAAAAGTCCAAAATCAAGGTGTCAGCAGGACCAGCCTCTCTTCCTTCCGTCCCCATCTGGGTGTCGCCTTGACCCTTTCCCCTGATACCAGGGGAATCCTGTCTCAACCTCCACCCTCATTACATCTGAAAGACCCTACTTGCAAATAAAGTCATAGCCTTGAGTCCCAAGAGGACATGGATTTTGAGGGGACACTCTTGACCCTCTTCCTCCCCCACTTCTAAATGATCCAAACCTAATTTTGCAACCCCTTCCCACCTGGAACGCAGTGACCCCTGCTCCAGGCTCCTCTGGGCCCTCCTCTGGCTGCCCATGCCCAGCTCCTCCACGGTGCCTTGCGTGCGTGCCTGTGTGGGTGTGCAGAGTCCCTGTTCGCTTGGCGGGGAGAAAGGGGGATTCTAGGCTTCAGCCGGAGCCCACAGGGGCCTCTCTGCTCGGAAATGCTTCTTCCTCTCCTCCTGGCAGCTGTTTGGCTTGGCGGGGACCCAGCTGGCAGGCTCAGCCGCCAAGGAGCCCTGGGGGGCAAGGGAGGGAATGGTGAGGGGCAGGCAGCTCCTTCCTCGAGCCCAGGCCCTGGGAGCTGGGCCAATGGCTGGCCTCCCCGCTGGCCCCCTCCTCCCTGATCTCCTCTCCTCCTCATCCCACAAAGGGGAATTCTGGAGACCCCACCAGCAGCAGCTCCAGCCAAGGGGAAGACGTGCAGGAGAGGAGCAGTGACTGGCGAAGGAGAAACACACAGAGAAAGGGTCGGCAGCCCCTGCGGATGTGCTCCTAGAGGCTCTGGGTAGGCTTGGAGGCCACCCTAGGACAACCTGGACCTCTTCCAACATCTGGTTATCCTGTCTCCTGCTCCCACGACGTTCCTCAGCAATCCTGTCCTAGTACCCACTTCTAAAGCTCTCGCTTTCTCCTTCCAGGGCCCCCCTGAACCTCCAAGCTGTTGCCTGCCATTCTGATACAAGCTTCTCAGATAAGGACAATGGGAAATGATGCCCTAGGCACCCAGCAGGTCCACTGATGAGAAAATGGGAGAGAAAAAAAACATGGGACTAGCAGAGTGTCGTGAGCCTGAGCACCTGGGTGCTGTCCCCGAGCTTCCATGCTCAAGGCTAGTGCTCTACCACTTGAGCCACAGCTCTACTTCAGATGTTTTGCAGATTAATTGGAGATAAAAGAGTCTCATGGGCTTTCTTTCCTGAACTGGCTTTGAACTGAGGTCCTCAGAACTCAGCCTCCTGAGTAGTTCAGATTACAGGCACGAGCCACAGGCGCCCACCCTTTATGAGCCTCAATATCCTTGCAGCCTTGAGCTGAAGAGCTGAGGGAGAGCACCCAGGGCCAGAGGTCAAGTCCCACAACTGACAAAGAAAGGAAGAAAGGAAGGAAGGAAGGAAGGAAGGAAGGAAGGAAGGAAGGAAGGAAGGAAGGAAGGAAAGAAGGAAGGAAGGAAGGAGGAAGGAAGGAAGGAAATACAGCTAACTGCAAAGGTTGCAAGGATGCCTTTCAAACAAGGTAGGTACTTCCTAGCTATATTTGTGTTAAGTACTTTGTATAGATCTTCCCATTTAATAGTAACTGGATGACACAGAATGCATTTCATGGCTAAGGGAGCTAAGAGGTGTAGGTCCCAGGGCTGGTAAGTGGCTGAGCTGGGATTTGACTTGACCCTGAGACTCCAGATCCTGCACTCATATTAGTATTTTATTTTTGGATAGTCCTGGGGCTTGAACTCAGAGCCTGGGCACTATCCCTGAGCTTCTTTTTGCTCAAGGCTAACACTCTACCACTTGAGCCACAGCACCACTTCCGGCTTTTTCTGTGTATATGGTACTGAGGACTCGAACCCAGGGCTTCATACATCCAAGGCAAACACTCTACCACTAAGCCACATTCCCAGCCCCATTAGATTAGTATTAGCATTGGTAGGGGTGGTTTGGACTGAGCCCAGGCCACAGAGTGTGGCTGGGGCGTGGGGATTCCCCTAGCCAGCCCTGCAGGTGCAGCCGTGAGGTCTCTTAACACTCCCAGGTCTGCAATGCAGTTTGCAAGCAGGGGATTCAGCATTTGGCAATGCTGAGGTCTTGGATGTAAGAGCTAGCCCATCCCCTCTCCCTGCCACAGGAGCAGCCCACTGAAACTGAGGCTCCCCGAGAGGCGCTTGTGCCTTGGCCCATCTGGAAGTGGTTAGGCTCTTCTTCCCCCCTCTTGCAGCCAGCTGTTTGCGGTGGCTAATTCCGGGAAGTGCCCTTCAGCCAGCGGCTGTCTGTGGGGGGGCAGGGGCAGGGGCTCCTCACCACCAAACCATTGGGATGGGAGGGAAAGGAGCAGGCCAGCGGTAGAGGGTTAATCAGAAGAACCACAGCCTTCATCCCCAAGAGCTCTGTCTCCTCCCCCCGTCCGGCAGACAGCCTGGGTTACTAGGGGTTGAATAATGAGGAGGAGAAAGGGGGCGGAGGCAGGGGAGACGAGGAGCTGAGACGGAGCAAAGTTTTCTGCTGGGAGAGATCTTCCATAGGTCATCTGATACTGTCCATCCCCCTGTTGCCTGGGGGTCACAGTGACCGCTTGGTGCAGTGGAAAGACAGCAGCCTTTGTAGTGGAGCTCAGCTGGGTCACAATCCTGACTCCATCACAGTGGGTCTGGGCAACTTTGAGCAAGATCTTTAGCCTCATCTGTGAGATGGAGACTTCTGGGAGAAACGGTCAGTTCTATGATCAAAAACATTCAGGTCCTTCTCCCTGAGAACACCGGAAATCCGCTACAGACCTCTCTCCTGGTTCCTTTCCCTGCCTCCCTATCTGGGGTGGCTCGCTCTAGCTTCTGACACAGCATGCCCATGGCACTGGGGCCCCATCTCTGAGCCACTCCCTGTCTAGAGCTTGGCCTACTCTCATCACTGCCTAGCTCTGCCCTCCTCACTTTCTAATCTTGACAAAGCCACGCCCAACCCCACCTCCACCATCAACAGCTCCCTGGGACTCTCACAGCCCAGATCTCCCCCCACTCCTTAACTATGACCCCAAGGTGAGAATACAGCTCTAAACACAGGCACCAATGGAAGTTAAATGTCATCCTTGCCAGGAAGGTGCTTCCTTGTATGCAACCACATGGAATCTCTTGCGGAACTGTGGAAAATATGGTTGGGCTGCCATTTTGTAGATGTTAACATTCATTGGATGCTCCCCAAGTCACATGCCTGGCTCGAGAGCAAAGCAGAGGAACTGCTGTACTCTAAAAAGACACGAAACTGGAAAGACTTGGAAAAAATTATATTAAGTGAAGTAAGCCAGGCGCAAAGAAACATAGGTCCCGTGGTTTCCCTTATTTGCAATAACTAGTACATATCTGAGACAAGCAGAAAAGTCAGATAAGATGATGTTAAGCGAAATGAACCCCAAGATAAGGACACAAGTGGTTTTTTCTTACTTGCTATTGTTTCTAATGTATTTATAAGGTACCACGTGATTTTTTGTTGCTTTGTATGTCCCTCGCCCACAGTATAACCCCTGTTTTCACTGTATTTGATGTTGGTATAATTTGGAGAGCAGAAGGGAAAAAACAAATTGTTTCAATAGGGAATACAGGTTGACCCATTGCAACAATGAGAAGTACAAGACACTATGTCGAAAAACGAACTTTACAATTTAGGCAGGGGGGATGTAGTTGTGGAGATGGGAGGGAAGGGATGGTAAGGAAAAAACAAAGGAGGAGGCAACAATGCTTGATAAGAAATGTATTCATTACCTTATTCATGTGATTGTAACTCCTTTGTACAGTATTTTCACAATAAAAAAACTTATTAAAAAAAAGACACAACCTTAAAAAGTGAAAAACTGGACCCAGATGCCAGTGGCTTATGCCTGTAATCCTACCTACTCAGGAGGCTCAAATCTGAGGATCACGGTTCAAAGCCAGCCCAGGCAGGATAGTCCATGAGACTCTTATCTCCAATTAACCACCAGAAAATCGGAAGTTGAGCTGTGGCTCAAGTGGTAGAGCACTTGACTTGAGCTGAAGAGTGCAGGGACAGCGCCCAGGCCCGGAGTTCAAGTCCCACAACCAACAGAAAAAAAAAGTGAAAAACTGGTATCCTGGCATGGTAGTGAATGTCTATAATATCAGTACTCAGGAGGCAGAAGCAGATCATGGTTTAAAGCCAGCCTTGGCAAAGTTAGCAGAAGATCTTATTTCAAAAAACAAATTCAAAACACAAAGGACCATGAACATGACTCTAGTAGTAGAGCAAGTACAAGGCCCTGAGTTCAATCCCCAGCAGGGAGAAAGGGGAGGGAAGAAGAAAGAGAGGGGAGAGAGAAGACGGGGGGAGAGGGAAGAAAGGGGAGGGAGGAGGGAGAGAAGAGAGGGAAGGAAGGAACAACTTCATCTGGTTCCTTCTCCTATATCTCCTATAGTCATTGCAAAGAGGCTATGTCACCAGACCACCGCCTCCCTTCATTCTGGCTGGACACTCAGAGCCATTTCACAAATTGTTCCCAGTGCCCCACTGGTTCCCATCCTCCGTGCCTTTATTCCTGCTTCTCCTCTCCCTCCTCCCTTCACCTGTTTGATAACTAGTCTGTAAGAGCCAGTCTATATGTTAGTTCTTTGTTATTTTTAATTGCCATTTACCCAATGCTTATTTTGTGCTAAGTACTTTATGTCTACTGTCATTCAGTACCACACTACACATACACAGAAACCTCAAAATTAGTATTATTATACCAGTTCTACAAATGAGAAACAGCCCCGTCCCCTCAGTGAACAGACTTCAGAAACAGCACCTTCAAGCCGGGCGCTGGTGGCTCACACCTGTAATCCTAGCTACTCAGGAGGCTGAGATCTGAGGATCGCGGTTCAAAGCCAG